AAATGAAATATTTTCCTTTTCAATTTTTGGTTTTTTAAGCTTAGATTTTTCTTTTTGTTTAAGTTTTTTTTTTTTTTTTTGATAGGTAATTTATCTTACAAATTTTTTTTTTAATTTTCAGCGCATTTTTTGAAACGCTAAGAATTGTCAAAACAAATTGTGTGGTCAAGTGTTAGAAACAAAATTTTTAGGCGTGTTCAGGAATGGCGTTCGATCGCACTTTTTTAATTTTTATCAAACATGTCCGGCAAACTTGAGTCTTTACCGGACAAATTGTCTAGTAAAGACTCAAGAAAAAAGTTCATTATTTCAAGCCCTGTATATATATAACCCTCGGAATCAGGGTCAGCCTAATTGCCAACCTGAAAGTGTTTAAGATCAGCAATTTTATGTCGACTTCGTTTCTATGTTTTATTATGAGACCTTTGTATCAATTTTTTTTCTAATCTCTAAAAGATTGAGGTTGGCAAATTTCTGCCAACCTCATTTTTCCTAATTCTGAGTGTTGTATATATATCAGGATTGGTACCCTAAAACCCAAACCCAAAAACCAACCAAAAACCCAACTTATTGGGGTTTTGGTCTTTGGTAACCCAACTTAATGGGTTTTTGTATTTATAATACTTTTGTTCATAAATTAATTTCCATTCACACTCAAGATTAGATGCTGCTAAAAAATTGTTATAAAAACAAGAGTTTAATGAATCATAAATGAGATTTTATTTTATTTGGAGTAGAAATATTCAAACTTAAAGGTTTAAAACAAAGTTATCTAACAACTTAGTCATCAGCAATTGTTCATCTTGACCTTAATGTATGTAAATTTGTACAAGCATTTTTGCTTTTTCTCTTCCTAAATTTTCCTAAATCAGGTTTCATTTAACCATTCCTCAGCTTCTTCTTCTTCTTTACTTCTATCCAAGGTTCTTTTTAGATTTCTAGATAAATAGTTGAATAATGATATAGTTGTCTAAGCTTTCTCACACCGGATTATTTTTTTGCTTGAATATACTACTTCTGTTCCTATTACTACATTTAAGAGAAACTCATGTGACGGATCTTAAAAATTAGTATACTTTACATTTTCACAAAGTTATAATTTTCATGAAAAAAGAGAGTAAATAAAGCTCGTAGTTTAGATACAGTCATTGATATAAACACGGCCGACGAGATTAAAAAAAAATGAGCGGAAATTATTTAAAAGATTTTGAGTTAAATATTTTAGTTCTACTTCTACAAGGTCAACTTATAAGAGTTATAAGTTGATAAGTTGACAGTTATAAGAGTAGTAAACTTAAAAGAAAATTTTTTATCAGAATTTATTTTAATTTGATCAGATGCAAGTTTTTATTTTTTTTTACAATTTTATAGTTACCTTTACATTTTAGATCTGTAAAATTGGCCAGAAAATGATATAGAACAATTGTTTTCTTAAACCTCTGTAAAATATCATCTTTGTATCATCTTGGATACTATGAGCAATTATAAAATTATTACTAAATGGACTCCAATCATCTTGAATAAGGATAACAGCACAACCATCATCAAGATCACATTTTATTATATTGATTATTTCTTCATCTACCTTTATTAAGAGTTCTGAAGATATCTGTTTTATTTTATCTGAAGATATGTTTTATTCTATAGGTAGTCAAGTCAAGTTTTTCTACTATGTTGAATGGTATATTTGTTGAAAAAAAGAAACCTTTAACCTGATGATGTTTGCCGTTGCATCGTCATTGCAGTTAAATGAACAATTGACAAAGATTTACTAATAAAGCTTAAGTAATCTTGATCATTATCTTCTGACTGGTTAGACTTGTTGGATGCTGCAGATGTGTATATATATATATATATATATATATATATATATATATATATATATATATATATATATATATATATATATATATATATATAACAACGCGAATAATATGATATTTCTATTAACTTATTATTAAATACTTATAAATGTAAATATAATATTATTTTTAAAAGTTTTGAAAAAGAAATGTCAAAACAACTTATATTTTATTTTTGGCTCCTTATATTTTAATTTCTTCAAGTTTATATATTTCTTTATTCAAAAAGCATCATTGGTATATCTAAAAACTTATTTACTAGAATAAAACTTCCTATGATATATAACTCTTAAATTAGTCATTCGTCATTAAATAAAGATACTAACTTCAAACTTTATTAAAAGTAAAGGATTTCTCCCACCCTGGGCTTGTAACAAGTTTAAAACCAAATTATTGTATTTAATGATTAATTTTTTTAATGAATAAACAGATAGCTCGCGCAAAAACCAAAAGCTCTTCAACAAGCTCGCGCAAAAACCAAAAGCTCCAATTATCGTCCGATCAGTCTTCTTTCTGTTATTAGCAAGGTCTTTGAGTCTTTGATCAACAAATTCCTCACATCTCATCTTGAGTCAAGTAAACTGCTGTCAGACAATCAATACGGTTTTTGATCCTCTCGCTCTACGGCCGACTTGCTAACTGCAGTAACTGAAAGATTTTATCGTGCATTAGATGGAGGCGGTGAGGCTAGGGCTATTGCTCTCGACATATCTAAAGCTTTCGACAAAGTTTGGCATGCTGGTCTTCTCCATAAGCTTGCTTCATATGGTGTTTCTGGGAAAGTTTTTGAGATTAACAAATCATTTCTTTCTAACCGGTTTATTAAAGTCATCCTTGAAGGCCAACACTCTTCTTTATTTCCAGTAACTTCTGGGGTTCCCCAAGGTTCCATCCTGGGCCCTGTTTTGTTTCTTATCTACATAAACGATCTTCCTGACAACCTTTCATCTAAAATAGCTCTTTTTGCTGATGACTCAACTTTATACTCCTGTCTTGACAAAAAGTCTTTGCTTTTTGATCGCCTAGAACAAGCAGCTGATCTTGAATCTGATCTCACTTCAGTAATAGATTGCGGTTCACAGTGGCTTGTGAATTTCAACTCTAAAAAAACCCAATTGCTTACTGCAAACAACTACCGTAATATGGTCAACATTCCTATATTAATGAATGGCAATCCTCTTACTGAGTCGTCCTCTTTACGTCTTCTTGGATTATCGCTTACTACTGACTTTTCATGGAAACCATATATACAATCGATTGCTAAATTAGCTTCTGCTAAGGTTGCTTCTCTTTATCGTGCTCGCCATTTCCTTACTTCTGATTCCATTCTCTACCTCTACAAATCTCTTATTCGTCCCTGTATGGAATACTGTTGTCATATTTGGGCTGGTTCTTCTAACGATTCACTTTCTCTTCTTGACAAAGTCCAAAATCACATTGTAAATGTTGTTGGACCTGGACTATCTGCTAAGCTTGAACCTCTTTCCCATCGTCGTAAAGTTGCATCTCTTTCTCTTTTCAACAAATACTATCATGGTCACTGCTCAAAGGAGTTATCATCTCTAGCTCCATCAACTAAAATTCATTCTTGTCATTCAGCTAAGTCTCATTTGTTTACTGTATCTGTCCCTGCATGCTCTAAAAACTTTTATTCGTCTAGTTTTTTTCCCCGCACTTCAATCCTTTGGAACTCTCTCCCATCTTCATGTTTTCCTGACTCATACAACCTTCAACTTTTCAAGTCTTCTGTCAACCATTTCCTTGCTCTATAACTCTGTTCTTTTTTTTCCTAGTAACTCCCAACTTAATAGTGGTTGCTTGCAGCCTTGTTGGGAGTGAATGCAAATAAAAAAAAAAATAAAAAAAAAAAGAAGCTGTTTAGAGGAGCAGCTTGCATGGCTTGCCATGTTCGTTTTAGGAGAACTTTTTACAGCTCTCACACTCTTTTCTTCCTGCCGAGGCCTATATATATATATATACAAGTATATATATATATGTATTTTATGCAATCTGTTAATCTAGTTATAGAAGGTTTTGAACAGTTGCTACCTACACCTTTTTTCAATAATTTCTGAAGGAACAGTTGCTACCTACATCTCTTTTCAATAATTTGATTTCATGAATTGTTTTAAAATGGGTATGAAGACCGCTTCTAGAACCTCCATGTGTTTTTATTATTTTCTTACACAACTTTCATTTAGCGCACTTTTTCTCTTAGAAAATGAAACCATGGTGAATTTTTTTGGATTTGCTTTGAATGCTCCTCAAAATGTTAAATATTCATATTAGTGTAAAATACAAATTTTCTAAAAGTTCGAAACACAATAAAATGTATCATTCATACTCTGTTTTAAAAAAAAAATAATTTACTGTTTGGAATTTTATGAAATAATATTTTAATTGAACTATTATAGCACATAAAAGTAACCTATATTGTATATAATTTAATTATAATTTAATTTTGTACAATATTTGATTTGTATAACCATAACTTAATTTTGTACAATAAGTTTTGTTACTATTTATAAGATCAATTAGACTTATAATGAATCCATAAATTTGTTAGTCCAAAACATAACAAAAATATTTTTTTTGTTATGTCATTTTAACTTTCTAATAAAACTTCTTTATGCTAAGCTATAATATTAGGCTAACTCTTTTTAATATATATATAAAAGAGCTAGTATATATAAAAGAGCTAGCCTAATGTTATAAAAACATTAGAAAAGATCAATGTTTTATAGTTTGTTGCATTGTTTAGAAAAAGTTTTAACTAAAATTTTTTGGATTAGGAGAATTATATATATATATATATATATATATATATATATATATATATATATATATATATATATATATATATATATATATATATATATATATATATATATATATATATATATATATATATATATATATATATATATATATATATACATATACATATACATATACATATATATATATATATATATATATATATATATATATATATATATATACATATACATATACATATACATATATATATATATATATATATATACATATATATATATATATATATATATATATATATATATATATATATATATATATATATATATATATATATATAAAATACATTTTTTATATCAGAAAACTTCTGGAAGTGAAATATTGTCTCGACCATCAATAGGAACAATTTGTTGTGCTAAATATATGAATGATGGGCTATGGTATCGTGCTAAAGTGACTCAAGAAATGACTGAAATTAACAAGGTCATAAAAGTTTATTTTAAAAAATTTGTTTTTGTAAAATTGTATAAATTTTTTCTATTCTACTGTATAATTATATACACATGAAGTGTCATTGATAACATACTAAAATAAGAACTTACTGTACATGGACTGAGAATTGGAGTTTGTACATACATCACATTCATATGAAGAAGATCTATTATTGAAAATAGCATAGCGTATGTATGTATGCATTCAATATAAAATTATTATTTAATAAGTTTTTGATTTTAAAAATAGTTTGAAGTTGAATTTGTGGATTATGGCAACCTAGCTGTGATATCTAATTTTCATATACGTAAACCAAAAGCAGTGAGTGAAAAAGTTGTATCTCTGCCATTTCAAGTATGTTTTTTTTCAAACTATTTGAAGATTTAAATTTTATATTAAAAATGTGTGTGTGTGTGTGTATATATATATATATATGTAAGGGCTATTCTAGACTGCTTTTGAAAGCGTCAGCCGTATTCGGTATAACTATATATATATATATATATATATATATATATATATATATATATATATATATATATATATATATATATATATATATATATATATATATTTGAAATTTTTTCCTAGAATAGGCCCTGATATATATATATATATATATATATATATATATATATATATATATATATATATATATATATATATATATATATATATATATATATATTTGAATGTAGACATCATGTATTAGAGTATGTAAATTATTATTTTATAAACATCAATAAATACAAATTTCTCTTGAAATTTATTTTAAAATTTTTTTTTACGCTAGATTGTTGTGACCAGCCTCTTCCGCTTAAAAGTTTTTTAGTTTGTTTTTGTTTATATCTTATTTTTCAAAACGGCAATTCTATGTTATGTCAATCGGGTGGTTTCATCTTTTTTTGATGTAAGTGTGCCAGAAATGGTGTCCGAAATTTTGTTGACACACATTGTTCCTCATCTAAATCGATACCATTTTGTTGAGGGACACATTGGTGGTACTGTATTTTAAGTGCCTCAAAAACTTTTCTGTCAAACTTTTTAGCATCAACTTTTAGAGTTCTGCAACTGTCCCAGGTAATTTGTTGTGCACAATGTCTCATGTGTGTGGCTAATGCAGATCCTTCTGTTTTATTTCCTATTGTACTGTTTTTGTGTTGTTACGTGTTTTTATTTGCATTTTTGTTTCACCTATATACTTTTTGCTACAATGACATTTAATAAGGTAGATGTTTGTTTCTGACTGCTTACAATAACTGCTCTATGTACAAAACCCTTGAATATTCCATTTAAAATTTGTTGATCATGGTTTGATGTTGCCTTAACTTGAATGTTCGAACTGCTGTTTTAAAAATAAGATATAAACAAAAACAAACAACAAACAAAAAACTTTTAAGCTAAAGACGCTGGTCACAACAATCCAGCGAAATTTGAAAAAAAATTAAAAAATTAAAAAGGAGAGAAATTCGTATTTATTGATGTTTATAAAATTTTAAAAAATTCTTTATTGTTAAGGGTAAAAGCAATTTTAAGTTGTATTTTTTGAAAGGTATTTTGCTGGCATTTTTTAACTTAGAGCAATAGAAAATAAAATATAATAAAATTAATAAAAAGGCTAATTTGTTACTTCCTTTGAGCTGTTAAATTGTTTTGTTTATTTATTAACAACTTCATTTCTTGCTTTAGAGCTATTGTTAAATCTTTACTTAGAAATACGTTTCTGTTATAGTTTTCATTATCTCTTAATAAAAAGTAATGATCTATCATTTTGTGGATTTTTTTATCTATGATATTTTTTTTATCTAAATGGGTGATTAATGGAGTAAATAATTTTATTTTAAAAGTGTAAAAAAATTTATGATTTCTAAATAAGATTTTTAAGTGTGCTTTATAAAAAAAAGAGCATTTTTTGAAACATACTATTAAATTATTTTTTAGTACTATATTTTGATTTGGTATTACATATAGATAAATATTATATTTGAGTATATTTTTAAAAGAATTGATATCCTTCACGCCATTTAAAGCGTAAAGGATATTTATATTTAAAAAAATTCATTTTTATAAAAACTTTAATCTAGTTGTTTTAATGCTGATAGTTCACTACTTTTTACTATGCGATTTAACAGCAAATTAACTTAATGACATAAGTTTTCTCGTAAATGTTTTAAAATGTTTTTAAATGGTTTTTTACTTTCATGACAACATTAAAATGTACCAAATTACCAAAAAATTTATTTATCAATTTATTAATTTAAGAAGTAAATTAATTGTTTATTTTTTGTTAAATTAGTGATTTAATTTATTTACTTAATTTTATTACAATCAAGAAAATTAAATTAATAATTTATTTTAATTACTTAGTGCATTTTTAAGAAAATCAATCACCTGGTAGCATTGGGCAGCCATGTTTAATAGTTATAAAGTTGTACATACCAACTGTTTAATAGTTATAAAGTTGTACATATCAACTGCGTAAGCAAATAGCTACATGCCTATATATTAAATATAGTATACAATATGTTTTGAACATGTTTATATAAAATATACTATGCTAATTTAAAACAAGTTTAAATAAAATGTACTACGCTAATTTAAAACAAGTTGTTGCTCAAGTAAAAAAGCAATTTAAATAATAAAAAGTTCCTTTTTTTTATTATTATCTTTTTATAGAAAGCAAGTTTTTTTTTCAATTTCTATATCAACTTTTTCAATTTATCCTTTTCACGGATATATTGAACCCAGGATTTAATATTGGAGTTAATTTTAAAAGTTAATTTTGTGCTGTGTTTAAAGGTGTGCGTGCATATCATGTGTACTGCTGCCAGAAGTTTGAATTTTTTTTTTTAATACTTTTTAATGGCTTGATGTTTATTTTGCAATTTTCTCTCAGCAAACACAACATTATATTAGGATGATTTTTCTTTTTATTAAATAAAAGTCTGATATTAAAAAGTTTTAGAGAAAATTCATATTAGATAACAACCTTTAAAATTGTTATTAAAAAACAAACATTTTCCAAAATGGAATTAAAGTTTTACTTTTTATTTTTAGTTTCATTAAAAAAAAAAAAAGACGCGCGTATACAAATACGATTTTTTGAAATAAAGTTTTATTTGTTTTTCATATTAGTTTTTATTTCATCTAAAACATTGTAAATCAAACTTCAGACTATATAATGTTTTTTAGTTTTCTCTAACATTTTCATTAACATTATGATAATAATTTTTGAAAAATTATTTCAAACATTTTTTGTTGTTTGTTTTTTTAATGATATTTTTGCATAGTATGAGTTGATGTTATAGATTTTAATGACCTGGTATATAGAGATTATATTATTTTTTAGGCAATAAAATGTCGAGTTATTGGTCTAAGTGAGGTAATTTTTTGTGTAATTTTTTATAAAAATTTAAAACAACTTTAATTATTTTTATAATTACAAACAGTTTGTCAATTTATACACTATTTCTCAAATTACAAAATATTATTATGATTTTCTTTTTTGTTGTGACATACTAATGGAAAAAAAATTCTGTAATTTTTGTAAAGACTGATTTTAAATAGTTTTGTTTGACTTTTTTTGCATATTATGTTACAAACGTACAATATTTTACTTAAATCATTTTTTTTTTTATTAAAACGATCATTTTGAAATTTTTTTCAGAAACATTTTGAAGAATTTGAAAAAATTAATGATTTTGTTAAAGACCTTGATTATGTGATGATTGAAACAGTGCAGTTGAATGAGATACCATTAGTAAGAATACTTGTACCAGATGGAGACAATGATTTATTAGATTTTGTTGATTGGTCCATAAAGATGTTGACTGCAGAAGATAAAAAGACATTAATTGAAGAAAGTGCACTGAGCTCTCAAATGGATGCATTAATTATCAATCAAAAAAATGTGAATGTTAAATATGAACTTGATCAAATATTGAATATGATTCCAAATATACAACAAAATATTTTTGAAGGATATGTTCAAGCTGCAGAAAACCCTTATAAATTTTTGGTATGGTTTTTTGTTTTTGTTTTTTTAATTTTATTTTTAATCTAATTTTGTAATTTTTTGAATTATTTGAAGTTATAATATATTACATTTTTTTTACTTTATATTAGGGATGTTTTTTTATTGTAGTTTTTTGGGGGTTTGTTGTTATTTTTTTACTTTTTTCATGTTGTATTTATTTTGTTATTAATTTAGCATGTGCCATTTTGAAAAAAAATTGAAAAAAAAAGCTGCTAGTTTTGTCAACATAAAATGATAAATATTTGTTTTTACTAAAATACTATTTTTAAAATACATAAAACTGTTTTGTAAATACTATTTTTGTTGTTATTGTGTTTTCTAGACATAGTCTAAAGGTATTTGAAGGAGTTTTACATTACCACGTTGACTTGCTTTGAAATTAAAATCAATTAAATAACAAAAATGTCTAATTGTATTTTAAAATATTTGCTAATTTTAATGGTATTTTAAAATATTTTATATTACCACATTAATTTAGTTTGAAACTAAAATCATGTAAATAACTAGAAATAGCAATGATTTAGTTAATTTTTAAAATATTTTAGTTCAAAAATGTTTAATACAAACTGTTTGATGATAATATTAACTGTTGGTTTTTATTTATTTTTTTTTTTATTTTTAAAATATTTCACATGATTTAAAAAAAAAAATCCTAGGATTATTTGTAAATTATTGTTGAATTAAAGAAATTTAGGCTCTTTTTATTATTTACTCTTTTTATTTGTATCAAATTATACTAAAAGCACAGTAAAATTTATTCAATGCAAAGTTTAATTATTAAATATTTTAAAAAACAAACAAATTTTAATAATTTTAATTAGATATTTATTTTTACTAGCATAGGGGCTGTCCATAAATAACGTCACGCAATTTATTGCAATTTTTGACCCCCTCCTCCTCGTCACAAGTCGTCACAAATGTTTAGACTCCCCCTAAAATATTACATTACAAATTGATGCCCCTCCCCTCCTCTTGGATAAATGTTCATAGATAATCAACTGATGTTCTAAATTGTCTTTTTTCTTTTTCTTTCTTTCAATTCAGGATCTTATTCAAATGAAAAGCATTTTTTTGTTGCTTTCACAAACCGACTAATTCAGAACTCAGAATTTCATTCTTTGTCTGCAATTGCAGGTGGGCTGGGGCAATTCTATATTTCTAAGCAGGCAGTACTAGGTTCAGGTTTTAATTCATCACTAACAATATCGGTATCTTTTTTATCATATTGCAACTTTGAAGTCGAAAGATTTTTGTTATGCACATTTATAGTAGAAGGTTTATTAGTAGATAAGATTTGTTAAGCCCAAAATGTTAGGAGTGTTCCTTTTTTTGCTTGTGGAATAAGCAAGTAGTTCTTGCAACCAATGGTCCGCTTTAGTTTCTAAATTTTATCAACTTTTATTTCATTCCACTTCTGAATCAATTCTATTTGAAAAGCCTTTGTGCTCTTTGTAGGATATGCTAAAACGTACACGTCAAAAATACGTTCATTCTATGAAATGAATTTATCGGCGGTTATAAATCAGATGTGCCTAAAAATTAATTGAGAAACAAATTTTAAAATGTGGTCAAGAAATATTAATTACGTTCGTTTAAACAGCTACTTTTAAATACTTTTTTATATTCAATTTTTTATGTTATATTGTTTGATGGTAAAATGTGAACTTTTTTATACGTAAATTTTTGTCACTACTTAACGCGTGAGTGCATTAAGTCTAATAAAAGATCTCATTGCATCATTTCGAATTGTATTTGTTTAGAATTTTGTTTTAAAAATAAATTATATATATATATATATATATATATATATATATATATATATATATATATATATATATATATATATATATATATATATATATATATATATATATATATATATATATATAATTTTTTTTATTATATAAAACATTTTTTGTGGCGTCACACTTCTTTAACCCCCTCCCTCCCCCTTGCCACAGATTGTCACAAAAGTCTGGAGCCCCTTTCTCCCTTAGATGCGTGGTGTCGTTTATGGACTGCATTATAGTTATTCAAAATTATTTCTATTTTTACTTATAAGTAATAATAGAAATAATTAAGCGTAAAAAATTAAATTATAATAATAAATAAATAGTAAATAAATAATTAAATGATAATAATAAATAAATAGTATATAAATAGTAAACAAATAATAAATAAATAATACGTAATAAATAAATAATAAATAATAGAAACTAATTGTAATTAAACATACTATGATAATAAAAACAACAAAAATATGATAATAATAAAAAGAAGTAAATACCTATTACAAAGTAGTTATGATGAAAGTATTAACAAAAATAATATGCATAAATTGACAATTAATAAATTTAATAAATTCTATAAGTGCTGGCTTGACTAAATGGTGATTGGCATCTTGAAACTTCTAATTTTGAAAGTGGCGATTAATTATAAATTTATAAATTTTATTTTAAATATATAAATTTGCATTTTTAGATGAATTTTGGTATATAGATTTAGTCAGGATTGTAGAAACCAATTCAAGGAAAAATTTTAAATAAAAAAATAAGGGTTATGCATATGACAATGCACACTAGGGTTATGACAAAAATATTTTTGGAGTTAGAATAATTTGATACTGGTCAAGAAAATTGCATTTTATTTTGTTCAATTCAAAAAAAAAAAAAAAATCATGCACCATGACATCTTAAGACATGATACATATATTACTAAAGTTTCTCTTAAAGTGTCTCTAGTAAAATGCAAAAAAAACAACATTATTTTTAAACAAAAATAATTTTAAGAAAAAATCAGTTTTAAGACTTTTAAGCAATATCTTTTTTAAGAAGGTTACTTTTGACAAAAATTATTAATTGTAAACTGTTTATAGAGTTTCACTACTTTTGACACCCAACTTGATATACTTAGGGAGAAAAATATCATTTTTTAAATATTTTTTTCTAAAACATATGGCACCTACTGTTTCATCAAGTGTCTTAGTGCCTTTTTATGTTATGTTTTCAATTTAAACATGTTTTTTCTCCTCTCATTGTAACATAGGAAATAAAAGTTAACAAAAAAATAATTTTTTTTATATCTTTAATGGATGCACTCAGCATCATGAAAATTATTTGATAGTTATTACAGATTAATAAACAGCTATGGTTTGCTCATGATATTCAACTGGCTATTTGTATGTGTGGCTATTGCATCTGTGTTTGTTTGTAAATCTGCTTGTGTTTGTTTGTAATTCTGTATTTGTTTGTTTAAAATTCTATATGTGTATTTGTTTATAAATAAAAAGTGCTAATTGTTGACAGGTTGAAACAAGCCACAATCTTTAAAATGTTTAAAAGAGTTGACAAAATACTTTCAACTGTTTGCAAATAATTGATTTACTGTAAATAATTTTATATTTCATTTATTATATTATATTACAAACTGTGTCATATTCATTATGTGTCATTCAAAACATGTGTGTCATTCACATTCACATGTTTGTCATGTCATTCATTCATTTCATTCATTTACAAACTGTGTCATATTCACAGCTAAGTTAGAATTAAACTAATCCTAATTGACATTTAATAGTATAATGACTATGTTATTTTTTGTAATTATATCCATATATATCAACTACATAGCATATTACTACACAATCTTCACAAATTACAGAAGATGTTATTCACAGCAAAAAATAAAAATAATTTTTTTTAATAAAAGTAACTGCTTTTTTTAAAACTTGTTTATGAAGGTTTATGTTTTAAAGATGTTAAATGAACCAGTTATATAAATTTTATGTTGAAAGCCTTTTTTGTTAGCATTCTTTTAGTTCTGATGAAAGTCTAACCTGTTTAGTTCAAAGTATAACAAATAAATTTATACTCTCACTTGCCAGAAGAATGGGGCATATGCTTTTCTTTAAAAAGCTGTTTAAATATATGTAATGTGTATATTTTAAAATGTTTTAAAATATACACATTCCAAATATTTTAGGCTGATTGCTATTGCTTCGCGTAATTTTTGTGATGTTATCATATATATTTTAAAGTAATTGCATTTGCAATATTTTAATAAATAGAAGGGTCAGAAGTATAACTATAAAATCTAATAAACAGGGGAATCCTAATAAACAGGAGAGTAGGAATAAACATTTAAAAAAGTAAAACAATCAGCAGTATTTTTAAACAAGAAAAACAATATAAGATATGGGGCAAGGTTTGCCTCATATCTTATACAATTATATAGACTACTTTTAGTGAAAATTTAAAATAACTGAATCATTTTTATTGATGTCATCTATGGAATATCTTTTGAGCTGTTTTTAATATGGTTGAAACAGCTTTAATATTAGCATTTTTTTTTTTTAGGTCTTATGACTGTCTAAGCTATTCAATTTTAAATTGGGAATAATAATTAGGGATAGACGCAGTTGAGTAAACATTTATTGACTGAGGTTATATATACAAAAAAATGTCTGTAGATATTTTAAAGGTTAGAAATGTAATAAAAGAAACTTCAACAATTAAAATGTTTAAATTATTTAAATGTATTAAAACTTTTTAAACTCAATGCATATCTTTTTAAACTTTTAAACATTTAAAAATTTTTAATATTTTCAATTTTTAAAATTTTTTGAACTCTTAAAAGTTTTAAACTTTTTGAACTTTTTATAGTTTTAAACATTTAAAAGTAGATAGCCAATACTTTTTAAGGTTTTATTAGACCCCTGAGCCACTACCATTAGCTGCCGCTGAAATTCAATTTTAGTCAGCCATGAAATTGTTGAAAAGCTATAAATTGTTATTATTTTCAAGTTTAATCTAACATTAGTTACAAAACAAAAGAGAAAAAAATATTATGGTCCAGATAAAAGTATAGGAGATTCTATTTATGGATAATAATTAATTTTTTTTGTATAAATTTTTATTTCAAGTAACTACTAATCAATGTTATATGAGAATCTGGTAATTATAATTCTTTTTTTTTTTTGAAGTTCATGTTAATTATTATAATTAACTTTTATTGCTCCAGGTTTATCTTGCATTAAGCATTGAAAGTTTACTCGTAGTACAACTTTTTTAGTACAACTATCATACTGAATGGAAAGAGATCATCCTTGGCTCCATATCAAATGAATGCAGTTTGGTTTATCCCTGATAATTGCTGTATTGTTGGTCTATGAGCAACAATACAGCAATTATCAAGATGTCTATTAAAAAATCTTTCAATATTTTTATATTAAAAGATTTTTTAATAAGATATCTTGATATGAATTTACTTTTTGATCAAAATCTGACAATTTAATTACAAATAAATTTTTTTGTCAAAATGATTTTTTCAGATAGAAGTAAAATTTAATTAAGAATATTTTTAACATTTAATCCTAATAAATATTTAAATTGCTCGTTAACTTAAAAATGAATGTGAAATTATTTTTCATTATATCTGTTGGCAGGAGATGCTGTCCGCATCCAATTTAGTGGCTGCAACCAGCTGGGAGATTTTGGCTTTGGTCTTCAAAGCTGTTGCCGCTAATAGAAAGGCAAAAGCCACTGGAGGCACGCGGGTTCCAAAATATTTTGTTGCTAAAAAATTTTTGGCAGGCCACCGCCAACAGCTTCTGCCTCTCTAAAAAGTCCGCCTTTCAGCAGAAAGTTACTTTGCTTCTAGGCAGCATTATTAGCTCTGGTTTACATTTTATTATAGCGTTTAACTTTAAAATTTTATGTGGTGCATGTGCTATATACTTCTCTAGGTAATAAGTTATATTTTCATCTATATAAAAGTAGGTAAGTTATAAAAGTTTAAGTGTAATAATAATACTTTCAGGTAATTCCTACTAGTCGCTGGAATGATTATCAAGATATGCTCATTAATTTACTGAATTTGTACGAGGTTTGTTGATTTTTTAATGGAAATTATTGTTTATTTATATTAAAATCAAATTTTTTAATTTATAAGAATACTAATTATGTTTACTAGTTTTATAATTTTTTTATTTTTATTTAATGGTTTTATAACTAAGAATTTTTTTATTATTTGTATTTCTTTCATAACAACACTTTAAATTTACCATTAAGTAAAAGCTGTTTTTAAATAAAACAGCTATTTTATTTAAAAACTTTTTTTTTTTTTTTTTTTTTTTTTTTTTTTGTATAGGGATCATTTAAAAAAAAAAACATTTAGTACAAGTTTATGATTTACTTTTCTAATCCTATAAAATTGAATGTATTATCCTATAAAATTTATTATTTTATTTAAATTTAATATTATTTTAGTTCCATATATATATATATATATATATATATATATATATATATATATATATATATATATATATATATATATATATATATATATATATATATATATATATATATATATATATATATATATATATATATATATATATATATATATATATATATATATATATATATATATATATATATATATATATATATAGGGTGGTAGCCCTCCTAGCCTGATAGGAAGTTACAAATTTCATCAAGTCAGAAGTTGATAATGTCAGCCACACAGCTGAAAGCAAATTCAGTTGCTTACGCTTTAAGTAAAAACAAAGAACTTCGATATCAGTTTCTAGCATTTAAAACACCATGACAAATGAGGTTCATATTTTAAAGATGAAAACTTGAATTAGCGCTCAATTAGAATTACTTGATGCAAATGCACGTGAAGTTCAGGAAACGGGAAAAAATATATATATTATTATTTTTGGCACTGAGACATCTCTAATCTCACTAATTTAATACATATAGGCGTGATCGCAAAATTAATTCTCATGGTGGAGTCTGACAAAATTAAATCTCATGGTGGAGTGACTCTGAACAAGTTTGGTGTTCAGTTAATCTTGGAACTGAAAAATTTTAGTTGGTTATATATACCGTCCACTTTTTAGCAATGACCTTGTAAACAACCAAATTAAAGCCTCTATATATTTTGCATCGAATTTAGTAGGAAAAAAACAGTACTCTGGTCTTCTAAATACAGGAGATTTTAACCTTGATCGTACCACATGGTCTAACATCACTGCAACCACCCCAAACCCGCTAGCTGAAGAATTTATTGAGACATTTGATTTAAATCATTTAATGCAGCATGTCAATTTTAATATTTTTCAATTAAACTCTATATCCATCTAGCCCATCTAGCACTCTAAATCTTACTTTACCTCCCAACACGTATTTTCTGTTGAATGACATTCTCAACTTGGCTACACCAAAAAAGGATTAGCTCATTTAATTATAACTTGGAATTTCGCTGTAGACCTACTAGAAGTATGTAAATATACAAACCCTCCTAGAAAAATGTTTTCTTCATCTCAACAATATTTTTAAAATGGTAAATTCGATAAACTAAATATGTATTTCAAAGATGTCAACTGGGTTAATTGTTTTAGAAATTTAAATAATAATAAATGCTCCAATCAATCTATATTTAGGGATGTAATCTTCGAATACCAGCAATTAAATTGCATTATTCTGTTTTACGCAAACCTTGGATCACAAAAGAAGTCATCTCTGCAATAAAAATTAAAAATAAACTTTGTTGTAGAAGCAAAGGCCAAAACTGGCGTCTGGACACTACAAAATACAATAATAGCTGCAAAAAAGTAAAACAAACTCTTATTCATTCTATTGCTCAATATGACAAACCCCAAACTTATATATCAAATTCTTTTCATCTGTTTTTACTCTTTATAGCTACAATCTTACTCCATATAGCTACAATCCTTAACTAATTCTTTTCATCTGTTTTTTACTCCTTTAAGTTTAAGTCAATCACTGCCACCATCCAAGAAACGCATATTTTCTGTGATTGATGAGATGTTGGTCTTGAATAGACTTAATGAGAACTACATACAGTCGATACTATCAAAACATGCATAAGCCTGCAGGAGTAGACGGCATTCATCCACATGCTCTCAACAAATCTTCTTTTTCTCTGAATGTGCCAATTACTTATATATTTATAAAATCTATTTCTGAAGGTCAAGTCCCAGCTGCGTGGCTGAAAGCTAACATTACACCGCTTCACAAGAAAGAATCTAAACTTAATGCATCAAACTACAGACCTATTTCTTTAACTTTTGTCTGCTGCAAAATCCTAGAGCGTATTGTAAAAGATTGTTTAACTGAGTATCTATGCATTACATATTTATTGGAAACTGTCAATCAGATTTCATACTCAATGGCAAAAGGCTACAGTGTAGATGCTTTATATCAAGATTATGAAAAACCATTTGACATGCTTCCTCATAATCTTATGCTTCAAAACTTTCTGGTTATGGTATGGATAAATTATTTTCTTTCTAACAGAACACAACGAGTTGTCATGGGTTCCGCTCCTTCAGATTGGTTACCAGTCACCAGTAGTGTCCCACATGGATCTATTCTAGGACCTCTTCTATTCATCTTATACATCAATGTCATTACAGACCTTATTAGCAATTCAATGAAGTTATATGCCGACGACAGCAAAGTTCTTTCCACCAACTTGACACCTGAGAGCCCAGCTTTGCTTCAGAAAAATATAAATACATCATGTCTTAGACTCTAACCTGGCGCTTACGTTTTAACTACAAAAAGTGCCTTATTGTATGCTTTAAAATAAGCGTATGATAAGGCACTAATCTAACTAAAAATCCTAATCACCAATACTATATCTTGACTCAGCAAGGGATGCAGCTTCTTGACTCCTCTTACAGCGAAAGAGATCTTGGCATTTGCATTTCACACAACCTCAAATGGGACACTCACAATTAAAATAATATTATGTAATGCTAACTCTGTTCTCGGTCAACTAAAGAAATCTTTTATCTATAAAAATACTTATGTTTGGAAGAGACTATACTCGTCCCTTGTCAGACCTCACCTGGAGTATGCTGCTCCTTGAATAGAATTCTCTTTCTGCATGCAACATCAAAAAACTTGAAAAAGTCCAAAATCGCACCACCAAATTAATTCCGTTTCTAAAAGCCTTATCCAGTGAAGCCAGATTATCATTTCTTCACCTCACTTCACTAAATGAAAGACACATTCGAGGTGATTTAATCTACAACTTTAAATTTATTAATAACTTAGAAAATGTTTATTGGCTTAACAAACAAATTAGCAATTCATCTGTCCAAATAACTCGAGGACACTTAACGTCTCTTCAAGGAGTTTTTTAGACCTCAACAACAGCATGCAAACTATCTCTACTAGGTTTAATTTTTTCCTAACAGAGTAGTCAACCAATGGAACTTACTCCCACAAACTGCAATTGACTCTCGTAACCTAGATGAATTTAAAAATTGTATCGACAAACACTCTGGGCAGTAAGTTCCGGATATTCAAAATATTTTCCATACATACAAGTTTAGGTATATATTTTTGTTATATATTTGTTTTTTAAGCTTTTTCACTAATCAATCATACAAAAATTATAAAAAATTTGGAAAAAAGTTTGAAACATCTTAGCCAAAAGCATATTTAGGAGGAAAATTTATTCCGGATTTTTTTTTGGATATTCTACCCAAACAAATTTCCGGATTTTTAAAATATGACCTGGATAATCTATGATTGTATAAAAACTCTTAATCAAAAACCTGCATAATAACCTATTAAAACATTTATAAAAGTTTGCATTTGTAAAAGTTAAGAAATTGAAGCAAAAGCTATTTTAAAAAATAAAGCAGTGGAAGTATATACGTAATAGGTAAATACGTTTTTTAATGATGATGCGGTTCAGATAACTAAAACTTTATCATAATAAGGTTTACTCACTTGTTAGTCAATACCTTATACCAATCGTATGCGTCTTTGTTCCAAAAAAATTCTGGTCATTCTTGGTTACAATTGTATGTTTAAATGTTTGTGTTTGAAACCGCAAAACATATAAAATGTTAACAGCTGGTTTTTGCTTACAATGTTACTGGTTTTTAATATGAAAATTATAGTTATCGTTAGCTCGGAATTCAAGTGTCGTATCAATAATTTTTTAAAATAATATATAAAAATGTAATTATCTATTTTATGTAAATTTATTATGAAAAAATACTTTTTGTATAAAGTTATATTGTAAGGTTATATAACTTTAAATTTGCATAAATTATATAATTATTTATATACATATTTAAATAGAATTTTTATAAATTTTTAATACGACACTTGTATTCCGAGCTGACGATGTATTAAATTTTAAAAATACTCAAAATTATATTTACGATAACATTTTTGCAAATTTATAGAACCAAAAAGCTGAAGAAGGCTTGCAGTTTAAAGTTGGAGATATGTGCGCTGTTTACAGAAGTGAAGACGAATTATGGCATCGTGGTATTATAAAATCTACTAAAATGTGTGAAAACTTTCAAAATGAGGAGGTTGCAAATTTTCTTTTCTATTGTACGTTATACCATTCATTTATAAAAAATTTTTTTTTCAATAAATTTAAAAATCTTTTAGTTTGTAGTGAGTTTTCCTGACGTTAGTCTTAAGATGCAGATAACTTCAAAAAAAAATATTCGATCACTAGAAACTCAGTTTAAAAAAATTCCATTTTTTGCTGTTGAGTGCTCTCTTGGAGGTAGGGTTACATTGGATTAGCTTTTTTATATAAATAACGTTTTTTAAATACTATGATTATGTCGGAACTCGTCATATTTTTTTTTTAGACATTGAGCCAATATCAAGTGAAAGATGGTGTAGAGAAACGTCAGAGCATTTTATAGACAGTGTTCTTTTTAATAGTTTTCAAGTTAAAATTTTAAGTAGAGACTTAAATTTAAATACATTAAATGTGTTACTTCATGGGACATCAGAAAATAATGAACATTACATTGTTAATGAAAACCTGGTTTTATCTGGTTCAGCGAAATATAAAACTTGATCCTTTTAATTATGTTTTTACAAAAAACTCAATTATCTCTAACATTATTGAAATATTTTCTATTTTTTCAAAGTTTCGATATTTTACCACTGTTTTGAAATTCTTTTTGTGTATTTTTATAAAAAGTCTTAAAGTCTTATTGTGTTGATTTTTTTAAAGTCAAATTTTTATCTTATAGTTGTAGGTTATATTTTTACTAAAATAGGTTTTAAATATTCATATAGGTATTTACATTATTTAAAATTTTACCAAAATAAATTCTGTTGTTTTTTAATTTTTCATTCTTTGTTTTTGGCGTAGAGTTTACTATTTGATGGAAGTTAAAAATATAGTAAGAGATTTCTAATAGGTCAAAACTACATGCAGTTTAATTTTCCAAGTAAAATATTTTTTACTTATAGAAGCACGCATTAAGTTCATCAATCAAAGGATTGACATCAAGAGTGCAGGTAGTATTTTGGTGGCAATTAGGGCATAGTCGGATCCAAAATCCAGAACCGAATTCTATTTTGTTCAAGTATTTGGTGTTTTTTTTTTAATAAAATTTCTTTTTACAATGTCGATGTTGGGTACAATTATAGCCTACACTTAGTTTCAAACTGATGCACTTTGAAACATATTTTTTCTAAGCAATTTAGAAAAACAATTTTAAAATGACTTCAATTTTAATATGATCCAAGAATTTAAAAGCAGTGTTCCTGTTTGGGAGCATTTCTTAAATTGCAAAGTAAAAAATTTTTGTATTGATTTTTACATTGACTGGTTTTGCTCAATGCAAAACCAGTCAATGTAAAAATCAAAGGAGGCTGCACAAGTCTTATGCGAAAGCATCTCCAAATTAACCATTATCTCCATAAGACTTATCTCCAGATTAACCATAAAATAGAAATGCGTTTATTACATCCTACAAAAACAGTTCATCCCAAAAAGATATCAAGTTTTGTACAAGCAAAAGATATACTAACAGATCTCATATATAAAAGATATACTAACAGATCTCATTGCAGTTGATGGACTTTCATTTAACACTGTTGCTAAAAGTTAGAGGTTACGAGAATTTGCTTCAACTAAAGGACAAAAAATACCTAGTCTATATTTTATTAACGGCTAAAAGGCACGAAAACTAACAATATCAGATTTTGCCAAAAAAAAAAGGTTTTAATGGTGTTGAGCCACCTTATCTGTTACTGAATATTCATCAATTAAAACGCGTTGTTATATAAATATTAATACGCACGCAAACAGAAATTTTTATAATCTTGGGCTTGTACTGTCGTTGAAGGTACGCCATCTGATAAAATTTTTGAGACAGTAAGTTAAAATTTGAGTGAATTCAAACTGGAATTTGATAATAATATTATTAGTACAACTTCAGATGGTGCAACTGTTGTGGTTAAATTTCGACTACATCACATCTGCGTCACCACTACATCACATTTAGCAGTAGGGGATGTAAAACCAACTGAAGTTTTAGGCTAAAACGATATTTTTGAAATTAATGGTAGTGAGGATAACAGTGAAGAGGCTAACCAAGGTTAAGAGCTGACTGCATTTAACTTGAAAATAGATTGAGTAGTGGCTGTTGTTATAAAAGTTTCTTTTTCAATTTTAAAAAAGGTTAGCACAGTAATAAAATTATTTATAAAATCACCTGTTAAAAATAATGATATGTTGCATTATAGACTGCAAGATGTTGTTTGATAGGGTTGAACGCTTTGTCAATTTAAGCAAATGTTTTTAAATAACACTTATCTAAGTGCAGCCTTCAATAACAATATCAGATTCAGAGCTTCTAATTCTTAGAGATTTAGTTAAGGCTTTAAAGCGTGTAAATTTAGGAACCGAAGCACTCTGCCGTCGAGACTCAACTTTGAAAAAAAGGTTTTTGTTGTGTTTTAAGCAAGGCGTACTTAAATAACAGGCCTTCTCATCGCGCAACGGCTTGAAAAATGTGGAGGCTAATTTGGTTTTGATGCTCTCAATTATTAAACAATTTTTTTTTTAACTTTTAAATATTTAAAAATTCTTTTAACAATATAGTAGGAGCTTGTGATTTGATTATTTTAGTCTATTTCTCTAAATGCATAACCTGATTAAATAAAAAACTAAGGATAATAAGAATGTAAGGCTTAAACCATGCCATTTTTTACTAAATAATATTTTATCATTTTATAAAGAAGTCGATATTTTTATTACAAAAACGTTTATAAAACAAAAATAATTGTTATTTTGTCAAGAAAGTAAAAAAAAAAACAACACCTTGTAAGTTCAAAAATAACAATAACAAAAGATAACCAAGCTACTTCTATGTATTTGCATACAATGAAACATTAACAGAAAGAATTAAAAAGTAAAAATATAAATTAACAATTTTTAAACGAAATATCATCTAAAGTTAAATTGGAAACTTTTTATGGTATATTTATTCACAAAAGCTAACAAAACAGTTTTAAAGCTTTAACTTTGGTTTCCTTGTCTGATGCAGGTGAATGCATATAGCAAAAATTGTTAAATAATATATTTGTAAGAATATAACAATGGTTTCTTGTAATTATGGTGAAACCATAAATACATGCAATATCCATGAATAAGCAGGACATAGAATATCTACAAAAGTTTGATGTGCCAACAAAATTAAACAAAATGTAACTTAAGAATACCCATTCACAAAATGTATTACTGGGTATTTTCAGACCACCACGATCTAAGGCAGATGTAAAATTTCCATAATTACTATAATACAGATAAGTGTCATCGTTATCATCTTCATTGTCTTTTCTAGAAATATAACCTGCAATGTAAACTAAAGATGACTTAATATTCGATGAAAGTTGGTCTAAAAGTTCATGTAAATGATTAAACATCTCACACTCATCTTCTGAAAGTTTATAAAAACAATTATCACAAATATGACCAGATGTAAACTCAGCACTTGAAATGTTGATAGTTTTCTGAAGAAATAGTTTAGTTTTGTTGATATTCCACTTTTCAATTACTTGTTGAGTATTTATAAAATAAGTTCCCCCACTACCTTGTCTGAGTTTTCCAAATGCTCTTTCTATGGGGTCTGTTGTAAAATTCCCAAGCAGTACATACATTTGAGAATTGTCTAACAAATGCTTACTTAGTTCAACTAAACCATTACAAGTTTGATATAATGCATTGCTTGTATCCATGGTTATACTTCTAATTCTTTTTCCTTGAATCAATGTTGGCTTTAACATTTCAGAAAACTCAATTAAATCATTTAATCGTAAATCATCAACATATGATATGGAAGCTCGTAAGTTGTCTTTCAAATGGATTTCTTCGGATGGACTTTTAACGTTGACTATTTTCCAAAATTGAACCACCTTAGTTAAAAAAATAATAGTTCCATCAATATCATCATCTTTCATACCTTGATGACACTTTAATGCATTTATAGTCTCTTCACAAAAAACTTTTAAACATGTATCAACTTTTTGTCTCTCAATTGGCCTTGGGTTAACAGCAACATAAGTCAACTTAGACATTTTAACCAATTCACCTTCTTCTAACTTTTGAAGCTTTTTGATGTGATCCCATTTAGCATTATATTTTTTTCCTCAATAACTAAACTCAATTTCACCAGACTTTTCAGTTATCCAATTGTTTCGTATACACTTTATTAAATGCACAAAATCAAAGAGTAAAAAAATGCCATCAGTTGTTAACCATGGAAATATGCAATCAAATCGTTTGAAAAATGCTTGATTTACTCTATTATTATCATTAATTAAAGCAATAACTTTTCCATTTGCCTTCGTAATTTGGTTGATTAAGATAATAGTTTGATCATATAAAAAATCTGCATCTAAATTATTTACTGGTAACATTTTAACTAAAAATTTTGGTCCTCCATAAAAACATACAACCATGAAAGCCAATACAGTTTTTGCAAGATTTGATTCATCATTTACTGCTTTACCAAACAACTGTCCTCCATGATAAGTTAGCATAGGTTTAACATAAACTTCATCTAATAATAGTATACATTGTTTTTGACCATTGTTGAGTTTTGAAAAAACACTACAAATAAAAGTATTATCATCAAAGTGTGAAACTTTTGAAGTTAAACGTGTAAGGGTAGCAATACTAGGAAGTTGAAAATCATTTCTTAATTGATTGTATAAACTACGTGACTGTGCAAAATACTCAAAAGCTCGAACAATTACTTCAGGCGAATATTTTTGCTTAAGAATATTACTTGAGTTCATGTTACTCATGCATTCAAATTGCTGAATTAAAACTGTTTTCTTTTCTGACTTTTCAAAGGAAATCAAATATCGTAATGCCTCATGAACTTGCGACCAACATTTGAACTTATGAATACGATTTTTAACTAAGGAAGCAATAGTGCATCTTACTCCAGCATGATAGGCTTCATATGATAAGTCATTAAATACTATTAAACAAAATTTATTAATACCAGTATTGTTTTCATGCTCTTTTGATTGAATACAACAGCTATTTAAACAATTATAATAAACAACTGAATCATTAAGTTTTTCTAGAGATAACGAATTACAAAAATTTTCGAATGAATCAATTTTGTAAAGCTCTTCGAATTTTGAAAGTTCATCTTCTTTTATTGATCTTACAGAGCTTTTGGATTTTGTTGTTGTTCTTTTTTCTGGTGGAGGAGTTGGCACTAAACTCTTGGGTATTTGTTCGAATACACTAGGTGGATCTCGAGGTCTTTCTCTTCCTTTTACTTTAATAACTTGGAAGTTTGGTGGAAAATGTTTTGCACAAACTACAGTGTCATGTTTGTCTGGTATATTTTCTCTTGGGATTGCTTTAATCCATCTTAGACGCTCTACTGGATCTCTCGGTAATCTGAAAGTAGTTGTCTTATCTTTTACTGAGTCATAGTTAGAGTTACAACCAGTAACACAACATTTTCTGGGCATTTTTAAGTCTTCTGGTAGGGATACAAGTTATTCGTAGTAACTTTTGCCGCTAACTCAATCAGCCTCCACATTTTTTAAGCCGTTGCGCGATGAGAAGGCCTGTTATTTAAGTACGCCTTGGTTTTAAGTCAACTACAATCATATGCTGACATAAGCAAAAACATAAATC